ACATATTTTGTTTCTCCATAGCACATAGTAGGGTCCTAGACAAATAGAACATAATCTAGGATCCTAACTACTTTGAGCTGCTGAAACACATATTATAACCTGCTTTTTACATTATAGGTAATTTACTGCACGGACTTTTATTTAACAACTAGTAGCCCTGCGCATGAATCTGTGCGCCAGTAGCTTGCTGCTGCCCTCCTGTAGCTCTCTGCCCGCTGTCCTCCGCCCCCCGCCTCCTCCCTCATAGCTTGCTGCCCTGCCCCCTCGTGTAGTTCTCCCCCACCTGCTTGTAGCTAGCTGTCCCACTCTCCTGCTGATCTGTGATCTAGTCGTTCTGAGGTTGGTCGTTATGTAACAACCATTTGCATATTACATCTTTATTATATAGGATTGACTAGTACAGTGATGGCGAACCTATGACACGTGTGTCAGAGGTGACAGGCGGACTCATTTTTTTGGTTGATTTTTCTTTGTTAAATGGCATTTAAATATATAAAATAAGTATCAAAAATGTAAGTCTTTGTTTTACTATGGTTGCAAATATCAAAAAATTTCTATATGTGACACGGCACCAGAGGTAAGTTAGGGTGTTTCAAAATGCTGACACGCCGAGCTCAAAAGGTTCGCCATCAACTGGACTAGTACAACCAACATAGTAACATTTTTGTTACTTGCTCCTATTTGCAAATGATTTTTACCTGGCAGTGCTTTAGACCACTTGACTACTGAAAGAAGTTGTCTCTCGGCTAGTTGATTAAGACTCGTCAGCAGAGCACTGGAGGTGTCAGGTTTGGAGTTGTCATGTCCTGCATAGACCACGTCTGGCTCAATGTTCATTAGCAGGTTGATTAGCGAGGGGACCAGCTGTAAGTCTTGACTTGGCGAAAAACTGATTCTCTGGCTTAGGGCTTGGCCTTCATTTGGAATGCCCACCGTCTGCGGGAGCGCGGCAGCATCCAGTGCCCTCATAACTCTGACTTTATTGAACTTCTTAAACTTTCGACCTACAGAGGAGGGAAAAAAAGTTAATGTAAGTAACATATCAATTGAATCTTCCAGCAGAGTATTATTTTTCTTAAGTCTTAGAATCATAGGTTTTAGCACCACTCTAATAAAATAAAATTGAGTAAGTAAAACTGGTACTTACTCAGACTGAGATTAAAGAATCAGTGATACCAGCCTTAATCGGGTTAGTGTGATATCCAGGAGGGAGTTATGGAGTTTTGCTGTCAGGAACATATGTGAAAAGACAAATGGGTTTTAGCAGAAACTAAGCTAAATATTGGTCAATATTCTGACAGGACTGCCTCCCAAAAGCTAATGCTACAGGCTAATTGAAACAGTCTTTCATAGATGTTGAATATTCTTTTGGGTTTTATTCTTTTAAAAATATGCATACAAAGCCTGGCCTGTGGTGCTCAATGGTTAGAGTGTCGTGAATTCGATTCCGGTTAAGGGCACGTACCAGGATTGTGAGTTCGTTTCCTGGCCCCGGGGCATGTGTGGGAGGCAACCAATTGATGTGTCTCTCTAACATCTATATTTCTCTCTCTCTCTCTCTGTCTCTCCCTCTTCTTCCCTCCCTTCCACTCTCTCTAAAACATCAATGAAAGAAATATCCTCGGGTGAGGATTAACAACAACAAGAAATATGCATATACATATGCAAACCTCACAAAATCTTGTATACAATCGTAAGTGGGTTTATAGATTCCTCTAAATGCCTTGAAGCCAATATAGAGATTATTGTGAGATCTAAGAACCCCAAATTAATCATCTCTTTTCTAAATTAGGGAGGAGAAAGTCTCAACCCCATGCTGATCAGGCCACATTCGTATTTCTAGACAATTTTTGGAAATTCTACTTTGATGAATTATGATGTGTTAGGAAGGAAAAAAGGTCCGATGGTGAGATGAGTAGAAAATTTGTGTCATGAAGAGTGGTTGAAGGGGACCAGGATGTTTAGCTGGGCTGAGGCTAATCCACAGATGCCTTGAGGTGAAATGAATTAGAGAAAGTCCTGGTGATCAGAGGACAGGCTGGATTTCAACCCCCACCTGCTCTATGCCAGGTATAGGTGCTTAACCGTATGAAGTAGCTGTGCTTGTTATCCAGGAAAAAAAGGATAAGAGAGGCTTGATGACCGTTTGCAACGATCTAAACAGAGGTTGCAAAATGATGGCTCTAATGCCTGATCTGGCCGATAGGTATATTTTGTTTGGCTCATACAATGTTTTTCAAAGTTATGAAAACATCTATGAATTGGTTCGATGGCAGTAATCTGTCAGTGCTGAATTGCAGCTGCTGCTTTTAAATAGCACATGGACACTCCAATAAGCCTTAGTTCCTACCACAAACTGGTAGTAAGTAGGCCATTGGCCAGTTTTCTTCAGTGTTACTACTCTACTCAATGATGTTACCTGCCTAGTCTCTCTAAGCATCTATTTGCCTTTGTGATTTCTGAGCTCGGGAGTCTCCATAAAGAAAAGGATAACACTTGCTATAAAGTTCCCAAGGATCTGAGTCAGAAATCAAGGAAGATACAACTAAATGGAATCATAACCGTAGGTGACAGGAGAGCAGATGCCAGTGTCAATAAATGAAAACGATTCAGACGGTTCACAGAGATCAGTTGGGCTCCCTGGGGAAGGAATGAATCACTAGAGGGAAGGGAAGTAACATTTGGAGAGTATGGGAATTTTAAGAGAAATAAAAAGCTGTTAGATCAAGGCAAATAAAAAGTGTAAATAACTATTTTTACTTTGTCCAGGTCCTCTACTATAAATGATTAATTATATCTAATAAATGTCTAGACAAAATTAGAAAAATACACAATTAAAGTAACATTCATGGAGTATTTATTATATGCTGGGAATTTTTTATTTATATCATTGTGCCTCGACAGTGTTGAAACGGTGTTAATAACTCTATTTGTAGATTGAGAAAATGAAGAGGGAGGAAGGTGGCAGGCCCAGTGTTAGAGTACAGAGCTGGGAGTTGCAGGAACAAGCTGCACGCTCATTTGGTGGGACTCCGGAAAAGGCCTATAGGCAAGATCACAGAGGCTGAACTAAACGTTTTTTAATGTTCTTCCAATCTTAAAGTACTATGATACACCAATTAAACAAAATGTAGCATTAAACACATATGACCATAACAAAGATACAGAAAGAGCATTTGCTAAAATCCAAAATTCGTTTAGAATAAAAAAAAAAGAATTCTGCGAGATGGGGATACAGGAAACCAAGCTCAACTTAATAAAGGCCAAAATATGACAAACCCATATTTGAGCTAACGCCATACTCAATGGTGAAAAGATGAAAGGTTTTTCTTTAAGATCAGGATCAAGACAACAATGTTGACTTTCACTACTTTTATTCAGCATAGCACTGGAAGTCTTAGGCACAGCAATCAGACAAGAAATAAAAGGCATCCAAATTAGGAAGGAAGAAGTAAAACTGTCATCATTTGCAGATGGCATGATTCTATATATAGAGAACCCTAAAGATTCTATGGAAAACACTATTAAAACTAATAAATGAATTCAGTAAGTAGCCAAATACAAGATTAATATTCATAAATTGGTTGCATTTTTATACACTAATAAAAAATTATCAGAAAGAGAAATTAAGAAAATAATCCCATTTACAGTTGCATCAAAAAGAATAAAAAATCTAGGAATAAATTTAAATTTACTCAGCAAACTATAAGACATAGAAGGAAGAAATCAAGGAAGACACTACTAAATGGAATCATAAGTATGCTCACAAATAGGAATAATTAACATTATTTAAATGTCATACTACCAAAGCAACCTATAAATTCAATGCAATTCCTATCAAAAAACCAAAGGCATTTTTCACAGAACTAGAACAAATCCTAAAATTTATATGGAACCACAAAAGACCCTGATAGCCAAAGCAATCTTGACAAAAAAGAATAAAGTTGGAGACATCATGCTACCTGATATCAAACTATACTACAAGGCTATAATAATCAAAACAGCATAATACTGTCATAAAAACAAACACATAGGTCAATGGAACAGAACAGAGAGCTCAGAAATAAACCCAGACCTCTATAATCAGTTAATCTGTGACAAAGGCTAGTATCTTCAATAAATGGTTTTGGAAAAACTAGCCATAAATCTTAATAATATCTTTTTCATTTTATTTTTTCCATCACCATTTATCCCCTCTATGACCACTTCCACCTCCACCCACCTAATCCCTCCCCCCAAATCATCACCCTATTGTCCATGACTTTTCTCTTTTTTCTTTCTTTTTTGCTCAACCCCTCAACACTCCGCCAATCCCCACAAGAGCTGTCTGTAATATCTTTTTGGATATGTTTCTTCAGACAAAGGAAACAAAATAAATAATAAACAAATGAGTCTACATTAAACGAAAAAAGTTTTTACACAATGAAGGAAATCAATAACAAAACAAAAAGACAACCTACTAATGGGAGAAAATATTTGGCAATGATATATCTGATTGGGGTTAATATCCAAAATATATAAGGAACTCATACAATTTAACAGCAAAAAAAACAAATAACCTGATTTAAAAAAAAATATGGGCAAAGGACCTGAACAGACATTTGTCCAAAGAGGACATACAGATGACCCACAGACATATAAAAGATGCTGCTGATCGATGTTTCTCTCTCATTGATGTTTCTAATTCTCTATCCCTTTCTCTTCCTCTCTGTAAAAAACCAATAAAATATATTTAAAAAAAACAAAGAAAAATTAAAATCTCGGATTTCTCTCCAGTTAGATTATATGCCTAAAGACAATGCTGTTGCATGTGGATTTGTGGGAAAGGGGCCCATGCGGCACATCTTCCACATTTTAACGGAATTTTAATGAATATTTGGGAGGCCAAGAGACATAGTATACACAGCAAAAATCTTACTCTCATCACTGTTTTCACCTTACTGCTCCTACCTCCCATCCTAAGCAACACAAATTCTCCTTTCTGCCTTTGGTGATCAAATTAACAACTTCAGCATGTTCTTGGGGTCATAGCTTTTATCCCAAACAGCTTACCAAAGCACTTCTAGAAATAAAAACAAATAAGACATTCTCCTCTAAGAGAAACAAAACATCAATTGAGTCATAGTTTCAATTATTTGGAAAATTTTTCTTCTATGTGGAAATACACACATTTTCTTTGATATTATGTTCCCATGGGAAACATTGTTTGGAAATATAAATATATACAATAACAATATTCAACAACTAATATGTTAGTTGATTTAATTTAACATAGTAAATGATTCTTTAAATTAATTGCAATTCTAAGATATATGCATTTACTTTGCACTGGTTCCTACAAATAATGAAAAAATTTTAGAAGATACAAGAATATGTTTTGCTTTAAAGTTAAACCTTTATTTTGCCAATGATACTGTTTGCATAAATGATGGCAAGACATAAAAGGTATTTTAAGCCACCACTTACTAAACCACAGTGCCAAGCACTGTGCTGTATACTTTAGGTGTATTATCCCTTTTAACCTTATAATAGCTGTCGTTATATGGTCTTAATAGAAAAGGAAGTAGAGATGTGTAAAAGTTAAGATATGTGTGTGAAGTCCTATGGCTATTAGTGGGAAAGTTGAAATCAAAACCCATTTGTTCTGACTTTATACCCTTACTGGTTATTATAATGCTATACCATCTCTGAAAGAGATGTTTTAATCTTTTTCTAATGTATTTATAACATTTAAATTAAAAAAAAACACATCACGCTTTTGTTGATTTTAAACAGAGAGAGAAAGAGAGGGAGAGGGAGAGAGAGAAACATCAATGTGAGAGAGAAGCATTGATCAGTTGCTTCCCATACGTGCCCCAACCAGGGATTGAACCTGCAACCTGGACTTGTGCCCTGTCTGGGAATTGAACCAACAACCCTTCAGTTCCCTGGACAACAACCAACTGAGCCACACTGGCCAGGGCAACATTTAAATTTTTAAAGTGGAGTTAATGTACTTGATTAA